TAGATAGAGCGGATTTGTAATTTTTCAATAAGATCGGACCTGTGTTTTTCTTCCTAATAGTATCATAAACAATTTCAGATGACGGGTTGGGTACGCATACATAGTTTGAAAATACAAACAATTTATTTTATCAGGTTCGTCTATTTTCCAAATACTATACAGGGTGTTCATTTGAAAACTTCCCACCTCCGATTTATTGAAAACCAATGATTAAAAACGCTGAGACACGTTAAAAGATTTGTCAAGGGGGACAACTTTTTGCAAAAACTACTTCACCCTCTTTCCTTCTACCCCCAGTAGTAATAGCTTGTTTGAAAGGTATCCCGAAGTACTTTATTTTGACGTTTGATTTTCTTAAATCGGTCGATTCGTCTCCAAGAAAATTAGAAAAACTTTATCTTAATTTGTTCAGATAGAAAACAAAAACACACGATAATATCTCTTTTTAGTTCAACAAGTGTTCAAAATGTTGCCCGTTATTGGCCAAACAATAATATAGGTGATGTTCAAGTCCCTGATGGACATTTTCAAACACATGTTGTGGGATATAATATAATATTAGATTCCCAAGGCATACGTCTGAGGATATGCATGTAAACTAGGGGTTGAATAAGCGAGCCAGAAATGCACTAGACAAAGTTGAGGTCGAGCGTATTTTGGTTTTGCTGGCTGCCCAACCGTAGCTATTATCTTTCTCCAACACCGCTGAAAGCACAAAACTGCTGTGGGCTATATCATACGTTAACCCGCCTACCCGCCTTCTCTAGTTTGCTATCATACACCGGTTAGTTCACATTCATTAAATAAAGCTTACACAATAGCTTCATCGCCCGATATTTTTCCTTGTTTCAGCTTTTGCTGCATCCCCGCATGAACTTTTAAATACCTCCCTACTCCGTTATAGCTTGAGAGATTCAAACTTTGCCAAGTTTGGAGTGTTATAATTTGTTAATCCAGGTCACGATAAGTGCTAATAAACTTAGGCCTTGTTAAAGAGCTGTGTTATTAATAAATAGCGGGAAAAAGAAAGTCTTAAATAAAAGAAAGTAAGAAAGAAGTTAAGAGTCCGTTCCAGTCAAGTACCTGACCCATGGAGTATTTTTTTACTGTATCTTCCAAAGCATCCGACTCCATGATCACAGTCGTGTCCACGCACTTTAAACCGGAGATTCTACAGTCCCTTAGGCAGGTTTCCCAGCAGCTCAAAAAGATGATTAAGTGATACATTGAATACTAAATAAATTTACCTTTGATATACAGGGTGACTTCGAAGTTGAGTCATTTATTTTAACAGTGAGTAGATCTGATCAAAAGAAATGTTTTTTTCCTTTACCATTTTTCTGGTAAAATTAAAGTAACAAAGTTATAGCCCTTTGGAAGTTTGAGTACCGCCCTGTCTCAATAATAATATTATGTGCTCGTGTTTGGCAACAACGGATATAATCCGCCTTATCGGTTCATCGCATCGGAAACAAAAAAGCAAAAGAATTTGGAACGATGTTTTTACAATTATTTTATTCAGTTGTATACAGTCAGTGTCAGTCGGTAACGCGTGAGTGAATAGTGGTGTCTGTTGCGTGGCTCAAACGAAATAAAAAATGGCACATGTTTACAAAAATGCTGAACTTGTGGACATGATTCTTATTTACGCGGCATCACGGATTTATGCGGATCGGTTTCAAAATCGAGTGCAACCAACCCCTCGTGCCTTTGTTAATGTAGTACAAAGGGCTCATGAATCAGGTGACTTAAGACCTCACAGGGGAGGGCATGCTGGTGCTCCAAGACCGCACGATCAAATACAGGCCCGCACTGAAATACTTGTCGGGAGGATACTTTATAAAACAAGGTAACATTTTTTTTTAATTTTTTTTTATTTTTACACACAACATATTTTGGTTTATCTTCCTTCTACAATCATTATCTGAAAATTAATGACTCAACTTCAAAGTCACCCTGTATATATATATATATATATATATATAGAGAAAATTTTTGTTATATATATATATATATATCACGTACAGGGGTAAATGACAAAAAAGATCTAAAATCGAGTTACGCCGTAATCCCACATATTTTTTTGTAGTCTCTCACCTCACGAAGTGACGTTAAAGAATGTCAGTCCGCTGCTCGAAAATAAAAATTTTAAAAATTCCGTGATAAAATTTCTTAAACAATTTTCACGCACCAACTTAAATAGATGTACGCCTCTGCATTAAAACTGGTTTTATGTATTTGACCGATAATTATACAGCACGTACAGGCATATGTATGTCTCTAATAATGTGGCCAGGGAAACCTAACTAGACAGAGGCTATTTCTAATTCAACACGTTGAAGTGATTCCAAAAAAGATAAAAATAACTAGTGAAAACATTTCTCGCAGACAGTTCTCTAGAATTTATCATCTAATCATCAACAATAAGAAAATACTGTCTGAAGAGTTTTTCCTTTGTACTTTAGGGATTATAGAACGTCTGCTTCGCACGGCTTGGGAGAAAACTAATGAGATGCGAGTCCTGGAACATGAAAAAAGAGGTGGCAGACAAAGATATGCAAAATGTTTGCAAACAGAACTGAGAAATATAGCAAAAATAGAATAACTCAAAGCCAGATTTCCACAAGTTGAAGCGTGACATCTTTTTCAAAATGACAGCAAAAACGCCGATGCGCCATTTCTCCATAAAGATTCAAGATTGTGAGAAATACAATAATGTGTATTTGAGTATTATAGATGTATTTTCATTTCAATCCTGAACATTCAAGCAACATTTCCTTTATATTGAAGCAATATATGGAAACTTTCCCGTAAAGTCTCCTTCACACCTTAAATATTTCGGCATAACCATTTTGTTTAATCGAATTATGAGGTTTGAATGAGGTTTATAGTCTAACAAAAACTGGAAATTGCGGAATGTAAGATAACTAAATTATGATAATGAGTGGATCGTGTTCCTGCCGATATTATCGAAACGGAAAGATATACGGAAAAGAGAAAATCCTTTTCACCAGCTTTGCATAAGACACCACATCGTGCTCAAGAAGGAAAAAATGCTCATATATATGCTACATTCGTGCTAGCCATACAGCCAAAAAATGTCAGACATATCTCTGCTCTCGTTCAACCCCCGTCATGCATTTTTAATTTAGTATCTATTTTCTAAGGCCTTCGATATAGCGCTTCCGGAGTTGTCAATTCTCGTGGTTTGTACATTTTACATATAAAGGGGCGAATTTTATTTTCAAGGGCGCGGGTTTAGCTGTGTATTGTCGCCCATCTCACGTAGGGTGTATCTCAAATTTTTTTGTTTTACAGGAGAGCTGTTTTATGTGACAATATTTATTAATATTCAGGCACTGTGTCCTCTCATTCTCAATTTCCACAATTTATATATGATTGAACTACGTTGGTTTACTTAGAACGATTCGAAATTCAAAGTACTTTCGGATAGAGACGGACAAAAACCGAATTTTCCCAAAACCGTTTTAATTTTTTCTTGACTATTTGTAGTGGGATTCCAAAATAACTTGCACATTAATATTGCCACTTTTTCTCCTTTACGATGGCATGATTAGAATTTCAATATGACGTTTCTTGTCCTCCAGTATCAACTTTATTTCTTCTTACAGACGCCATATTGGATTTTTGCACAGATGAATAGAGTTTTTGATTCTGATCTAAAAAATGTATGAAACGTAAGACATTAACATTGCCAAGCCTGGATTATTTCAAGAAATCAGCTTTCCAGGTAGGTTTTGAAATTATCAGATAGACATTAATTTGTTTCGCATACCAGATTTAACACAAAATCACTTTTATTTTTGAGATGAGATTTTAAAATAAATTTTATGTTGTCATTGTTACTTATTCTCCTCTACAAGATGGCTCAAACTTTCAGTTAGACATATTTTTCCTACGACTTAACCAATTATATTTTTTCATATGGACGCTATATTGGAATTTTGTAAATTTGAATGGAAAAAGGTATGGAGAATCCTGAACACGAAATGAAAATATTTAAATATTCAAAATAGCCGTTATTTTGTAGGCAAAAAAGCTTATGTACATTGTTCACTGCTCGATTTATTTCTCTTCTCAGTCTTCCAAACTTTTTCTGTAGTAACTAACGGTTGGAAAAGCCAGTGTATGACATATTATAGATTTTTGGAATCAGAATTGAAAACTCTATCCATCTGCAGAAATATCCAATATAGCGTCCAAAATAAAAATAGTTGATTACCTAAACACGCAGCTTTGTACCATTTAAGCGACTTCGCATCTCTTACAGTTTCCGAGATCCCAGTGGTGAGGGTCGAGCTTGAAACACGCTGTATACGTGACAGTTTCTTTAGGTACGACACTACACGGAATCAATGATGGTATGGTCGGTAGGTAGATGTTATTTGGATCATTTGAGAAGAATGAAATTCATAGGTCTAGCGCTAAAATAGAATATTAGTTATTTCTGGACACTGATGCAGTCTACAGCTGATTTAATAATTGAAGAATTGCATTGGACTTTATTGTCACGCATCGTATGAGTGCCTAGTTACTGGATTATGTTATGAACCATCTAAATCCTACAAATTAGCTAAGCATATTGGTATGCTAGAAAAATTGACAACTCAAGGCATGGGTAGTTCATTAATAGGTCACGTGCCATAGGAAAACGAAAGGAAAAGTATTTAAGTTCGCCTTTGTGATTAGTTGTTGAATATCATCTACCACTGAATATAATGCAATAGGTTTCATAATTTATCCGAAAGTAGTAGTTTGAAACTTAGTCGTCGAGATATATCTAAATCTCAATCGTAAATAGTATGGAATGATAATAGCATTCGATGTCTTGATGAGTTGCTTTCACCATTTCATCAAACATTACAATTTACCAAATTGTTGTCATGATTATACCGTGGATCGTGGATGCCTTAATCTCCGTAAATCTCTGAAAAATGTGATAAATATTCTCGTGCAAATTGGCAGTTATGTTCGGCTTTTTACTGTGCTTGCTCGTTATCGCATTCCATAATTGGGGCATCATTTTCCCTACGCATAAGTATTTGAGACCCCGAATTCTATAAAAATGAGAGGTTAAAACATAAATTTCCATTTTCCACTGACTGTCACCTTTGAAGGGATGTATGGTATCTCGTATGATGTTACAAAATCTTGTTCCAAACATCTCTAATACCAAGAAAATTGCGTGAAGTAGGTTGACTACAAAATAAGCTCTATACTATTAATCATTTTATTTTAATGGAACATTTTCTTTTAAATGTGAGTTACTTATTTATTTTGGAATAAACTATCTTATATAAAATTGGCACTAAGTAATTCTAGTAACTCAGACAATAGTTTCAGTTGTTTCGGTTATAAAGGCACAACGTTTCAGTCAAAAATTGAAAGTAACGCTAGTGAAATAAGAAACAACAAGACTAGTGAAGTGTACGAGTAGAATAAGAAAGTCTGGTAATATTAAATAAGAACAGTAAAGCAAGTAGAACTGAACAAAAGATGGTAAATCTAGCAATACAGACAATAAATCAGTTTTTGCTTGAAAGCACTTAGAAAAAGTCAAAATCTAGACTAATAAGATTAAATAAGATACAAGAAAGAAAAATTGAATGAGACAAAGAGGATTGTTAATCTAGGAGCATATTTTTCAACTATACCTGAAAATAATCTGACACGACTTTAATAAAAGGTTACTAAGGTAGGCACAGAAATTATCTAAAATTGGGAACAAAAAAGAAATTTTGGTATACAATCAAATCCGTTCATATGATAACTCCACTGAGTTTTAGTAGTGCACCGACTGTTGTTGAAATTTCATGTTGACAAGGACTACGGACGACAGACAGGTATGCCGACGGACCAACAGACTGATCAGATCAAGCAACAGAGATGATGGGCATGGATGTGAATGAGGTAGAGGCTGTAAAACGTCTAAAAAACATCTCAAACTCAAAGAATTATTCGATATCAATATTTACCCAAATGAACTGACAAGGAATAAAAAAGCTATCTCATAGGCTAGGCGCTGGATGTGACTGAGTTTGCAAAATGTGAGTACCGCAATTTGTAAACAGATATCAACTGAGGAAAGGTCAAAGAATAATAATCTGGATCCTGCTGGGCCACTTCTTTGTTCATACTTTTCAATCCCCTCCCCTCTTAATTCATTACAAAAAAGTTTTTACCGCTCCGGTAATTATTCTAAACTAGAAAGTATCTCAATGACGTTTCTCTAAAGTTAGTCGTATTCGACCTATAAGCCATTTAATGTCTAACCGAAAAATGGTCATCTGCGATGATAAATAACTCGGTTAAAAATCATTTCTTTCGACGAGAGCAGCTACATTAAAGCTATAGCCCTCCTCTAAAAGATCCCTAAAACTATTTCAAGATTGATCTATACTAAAGCGACGTTTAAGATAATCGTTAGGCCAAAATTGGCGACCTCTTGATTTTCGCAACCTGTAAATACCACCATCATTAAATTGAAGTCGAAACCAATGTTTTCTTTATAGTTGTGTATAGTGTATTGGCAGTTAACCTTCTTTAGATATACGGAGCATTCCAAACGTCATGGAAAGGTAGTGATGAGGGGTCTCCTGAGGAGCTCTATTCTTGGACTGCCTAAGGTTAGTAGAACTAGGCAAAGCCTTCTCAGGCAAATTGTTCCACAATTTTGATACCATGGGGACAAGAGAGCCAGTCCTGGATATGCGAAGTTCAACACGGTTAGGATGGGAAGCCTATATGACAGTCTCATAGCGCGGCAGCGGTAGAAGAGAGCTAGGTCTCTGTTAAATCCAAGTTTAGACACTTTAACTGTATGAAGGATGTATTCCTCCATCCCAACGTTGACAATTTCGGTTATTGATGATCAGACAGAAAAGTGGATAAGAAATCTCTGAGCTCTTAACAGTCAGAATGCACGTAATGCGAAGTTTTGCGACCTGGGCGAGTTTTTGCTACCACAGCCGCTTGTGACTGAAATCTGACCTCTACACCACCATGGTCTGAGTTACCTAGAGGAGAAAGGACATCAGTCTCACATCTAAAAACGAAGATAAGCTTGTGATGAAACCTTTTATGATATCAAGAACCTGAAAACATATTATTTTTCTGACATGCATACACTCACAAGCTTATTTGTTAAACGTCAAGAGCTGTTAGAATTTGAGATCATTTCGCAAGCAGCATTTTGTTTTACCGCGCTCAAGCTCTTGTCAGAAAATGATATCAGGATTTTTCTTAATGTCATCAACTTTCACAAATCATTGTGGGTCAACGTATATATTCCATTTATAGCAACGCTTAACTCGTATTTACTGAAAAATGTTATTATTAGATCCAATTGAAAACATTGAAATGATCCATCTTTCATAATCATTATCACTTTATTCACATATTTCTCATAGTATTTTTGCATATTCCCTATCCTAATTTTATTTCAATCAGCGCTTTTTCGTTGAACACGTTTCTAATGCTGACGGTCTATACTCAATTCTGCATTGCATTCGATCCTACTGAAGACGCGAGTATTATGCCTATAGAAGTCACCATTGAAAAATGCATTGATCGAAATATTTCCGTAATTTCGAAAGGGTAGACGATTCTCGCTGTTCCCTTTGAATGTAACAATGAGAGTATATAAATTGAATGGAAAATATTCCTCTGAGTGCAGTCCCCTTTAGCTTTTGTACCGTAAAAGGCAAGAGATGCTTATTCTTCGTGCAGATGGAATCATTCGAGTATATGATGTAAACTCTAACTTTGATTTAACGAAAGGTTGCAGTTTGTAGCACGCAGTTGGTAATCTCTCTTCGACTATTCGACTATTTTCCTTGACTGTTTGAAACTAATGTAATAATTTCAAAGAATTCATCAGCATACAGGGTCTGAATAAGGCATACGGCCTTTTATATATTAAACTAGCCTAAGCCCGCGGCTCCGCCCGAGTGGAAGGAGTGTAAAGTATAGGTCATCCGTTTTGGATTAATGTGAAGGAGACTGGTATTTGAGAAAGAAATACAAGGTGATTCAATGAAACGGTACGATTTCAAATAAATAAAAAAAAACTGAAAAAACACCTTTTATTAAATTTAATAAAAAAACGTATATTACACACATAAAAATTAATGTGTAAGTGAAGAAATGTTCAGTTTTTGAAGATGATATTGGAAAGGTGGCCTCCATTTTGTCGGACACATTCTTGCAGCCGTGGTACAAGGCTTTTTACGACATTGAGTAACATTTATTGAGGTATTGCTTCCACTTCTTCGCGTATCCGTTCTTTCAAAGCCTCGTACTTCTTGGGGGGGGGGGGTTACTTTGAAACACTTTCGACTTAAGATACTCCCAAAGAACTGGAGCGCGGGGCGGCGAATGGTAGCGTAAACGAAACGCTCGTTGTACACGCACAAAACTTTTACCATTTTTGTAATAAGCTTTCACAGCTTTCACAAAGGCCACTTCAAAAAAAAATGCAGATTGGAGGGCCGCATTATAAAATCTTTCTATACAACATTATTACTGAGTTTTCATAGGTATATACTATACTATATTTGAGAGTAATTTATACATGTGATGTATACATGACCCGCGAGGCGGGCCGCAAAAAGGAGTTTGCGGGCCGTATGTTGGACAGCCCTGTTCTAAGTAATGCAATATTTAATTTGGCAATAGACATTTATTTTTGTTATTTATTCATTCAACATTTTAATGCAACAGTAAATCAATATCATATAAGCTATTAGAATCGCAATGAGCAATACGCGACGAATTTATATATCTTAACATATCCTTATCCAATAACTGTCTATTCACAAGATAAATCTAAACCAAAATGATCACGCTAAGAAAACCAAGGCCAAAAAGCACAATAAAAGTGCCCTATTTATATACCTTATGTCAAATTTCATCAATCCGTTTGATCTGTAGCCTGTGAAATAGATGTTTCAAAGTTGTTTTCCAGGATGTGTGCTATTCCAGACTATAATCCGTCTCTGTACTAGATTTCATCCATATGTGTTCAGCCATTTTGGCATGATTGAGTAGCACACATTCATACTTTCTCATTTATAATATTAGTATTGATAAGCAGCCCCAAAGGTAGAGGTTAAGCACGGGAGCACTACGAAAGATATAAAAAAAATAAATATGTCCTGGGGGGAGTTCTTGAGTGTTACAATCAAGATTTGTCGCACGAAAATGTCGAACAGCATATAGGCGGTGTGCAACAGTCGCTTTGTTACTGTGCTGTCAGTTCATTAAGGGATTAAGTTCAGCACAAGCTAGACCGTCTGAGAAAAAAGCCAGTCAAAGAGGTCGGTACACTTAGTCAAATGAATTATACACTCCCCACTTCCTTACAACCTGTAAGGTTTACAACCACTCACCTCCAAATTTTTTATGCCTAAAAGCTTTTTCAAAAATTATCAGGATCCTGTAAACCAGGGTTTCCCTACCTTTTTTTTTGTTGAGGCTCCCCGGAGTATAAACTATATTTTCATGCCCCCTTTACTTTTTCAATAAGTTTTAATTAAATCTAATGAAGAGACTTTAAAAGTTTAAATAAACTAATATATGTTTTTTTTTATCGAAAAATTTGAATAAAATAAGAGTAGGTACTAATGAGACACTTGAGATTGCATGTCCTGTACCAGTTGGTTGATTGTAGGATCTGTTTTTGCCAGAGCTATTATCAGGTCGCTATCGACATCAAGACGATTTCGCTGTTTAGTTTTAATTAAAACTAGAGCAGAAAAGCCTGCCTCACATAAGTAAGTTGAAGAAAAAGGAATTAGTATTCGTAAAGCAAAAGAGAGGCAAGTGTCAAATTAACAGGCAATCTTTTGATCCAAAATTTCTACAATGTTAAAAGATGGAAGTCATCTTTCATAGAGGAGTCAGCCTCCATTTCTAAAAATTCTTCCTGATGTTCTTCTGGTAATTGTAACACATCGACAACAATTGGATTTCTTGTCATGTGCGATATTGGTGACTCTGATAGTATCGGAGAAATTCGTCTTCCAGCGCTTGCAATTGAGTTTTTATGCCAGTTTTTAAATTTGCGTCCAGTATGTTATTTTTAATTACTTCGAACAGCCGAGAAAAATATATAACATTTTCAGAGGACATTTTTTTATTACAAAGTTGAAGCTTTGATATGAACCCCTGAATACAATCATAATTGCTTATTATACTTAGTGTTGTTTCTACCCTGCAGTTTGAAGTTTAGCTCATTCAAGGAGTCAAATATGTCAGGTAAATAAGCCTCCATTGAAATGTGTTATCTTTAAATATTGTCCAGAAATCGTGTTTATCTTTGAACTCAAAAAAAAATAATTACCTCTTCTTTCAATTCATAAAGGCGATCCAACATGTTGCATTGGGACAGCCAGCGTACTTTAGTATGGAACAGAAGAACTTTGTGATCAGATTCGAGATCCTCGCAAAGTAAAGTAAATAACCGACAGTTCAAAGCGCTGCTCTTGATGTAGTTTACAATCCTTATAGCCGAGTCCAAAGTCTGGCGCAATTTCTGTGACAAGGTGCGCCATTTGTGCAAATTCCAAAGAATTTCTTTCAATCCAAATCGTTTTTTTTTCAAAAAACTTTGATATTGAATTAAATATATGTTCAGATGTAGTACCTGCTGTCAAAGATTGGGAGTACAAAATCTCTTCTTGAATGATATCTCCGCCGATGTAACGAACATAAACCATTAACTGTGCACAATTAACGACGTCGGTGGATTCATCGCAACTGATGGCAAAAAATGTCGATAATTTTACTTTGTTAATTATTTGCGACTTTATGTCTGCTGCAATGTCATCGATTCTACGCTTGACTGTGTTATTCGAAAGAGAAATAGACTCCACTTTTTGCTCTGCACCATCTCCTAAAATTATCTGCGTGGCTTTTAGGACACATGGTTTTATTAATTCTTCACCGATAGTATGAGGTTTATATTGCTTTGCTATCATAAAAGCTATTTCTAATGAAGATTGAGATGCTGCGATACACCTGCGTGATAACAGATTTATCCAGTCTCATCCGCTTAAGTGCCTTAAAAGAAAAAAACCGTTTTGTCTTCAAAGCCAGAGTAGGATGTTGTTGCTTCAAATACCTTTCCAGGCGATTGGTCCTCATTCTATCATTACTTAAAACTTTCATACATATCACACACTGAGGCAATTGTAACTCGTCTTTTTCCATGAAGGTAAATCCAAACTTAACGTAATCTTCGGAAAACATTATTTTTTTCGCTGCCATTTTGCACCTATAGCAATAAAACAAATAAGTAATAAATAAATAAGCAAAATACCTACATGTAATTACTAATCATATGCCCATTATTTTATCTTAATAACGTAATGTATTCAACTGTATATTGACCACCGGGAGATTTATATTTTTGTAGGCAGGTTGACGTTACAATAGTAATTTTAAATTCATTTGGAATTAATATTAGGTACTTAAAGTTCGTCGTTTCAAAGTTATTTCACCACGTTGGTTTGAGTGTGATGTGGTAAAAAAGTCCCAATGGTCGATCTATGAACGTGTCTCCACTCAATCAACAATTTAGTAAATTAAATAAAAATGGTAACTGAAGTTATGTGAATACACAAACTTGCCTTTTAACAGTCAGACGCAATAATTTGACACACTCAAACAGATTTCTCAACAAAACATGTACATGGAAACGTCAAACAAATTTAAATATGATATTTAATTTCTAATTTTACGCGTGTAAATTAAACATTACACTGTAATGTTATTTTTTAATGTTGTTTGTTTATTTTTTTTTGTTTCTTCTTTATAAAATGCAACCGCTTTCCGCCCCCCTTGACATCTCTCGATGCCCCCCTTGGGATACACGCGCCCCTGCTTTAGAACTCCTCTAAACCAACAAAAAACGAAGTTTGAACGATTTTATCTTTTTCCGTTGTTTCCCCTTCCAGGTTGTAGGTGGTCCAAGGATTAGCCGATAGACTGTCAGACAGACCAAATGGTAGACAGACCGAGAGGCTGACAGATCGGCACACCGATAGGCAGGCAGACCGGCAGAAATGAGTGCCATAGTTTTTCTTGGTGTACATGTCATATAACATTAAAGAAATTTGAACTCCTACTTTGTCATCTGTCTTTCGAATGGTGATAAAATCTCTACCGCCCGTTTAATTGTCACATGGACTTGACTTCGCGAGATTGAAAAATATCGATTGCGAGATTCGAGAATACCCCCTCCAGGAGAGCAAAGTGCGCTTGATCTTACACTATTTGTAAACAGGAATCCCGCAACTTTCGTTCGCTACGCTGACGAAGTTTCAGCTTTCTGCTGTTGCCATTCCCGATTCAACCAGTGAAAGGGAATTTGCAAATAGCGGCGTATTTCTGCGAGCTTTTACATATGTCTTGTTTTTCTGTATTGGTGAGGCTCCCTTTGAGCATAATATAAACTATCAGGAAATATGTGCAAACAAATGATGAAGTCCGGATATAAGGCAAAACATGTAGTTCCCTCACATCTTGAATGTAACGCACGGCGGTTATTGGGACACACTGTATAATAGTGGTGAAAACAAATGGACTGTCACCTGGAAAGCAAATTAAATATTTCATTGTCATTGTTATTTTTTTATTTGTTCTCAGAAAAAACCATGCAGGTTGCCGGAATGTTAGTAAATTTTCAACTCTACATATGCGGTCGCCTTTGGCAGCTAGCAAAATGTATAGTTGAATCCGCGTGACCACCTCAAAATTAATTCTATTGCAGAAGGATCATGGAAGCACCAAATATATGAAATCAGAGAGTAAACCTGTATGATTTCTCTCATCTTTAATAAATTAAATTTTTTGCGAGCAAAGCATTTGCGGATACGTGTAATCAAACAGTTAATAGCTACGAACAGTTATTAAAATATTGAAAAAAAAGATAAATTGTCGGGAAATACAGGGGAAAATATAAATTATGTAAACATACACGTCGATTGACTTAAAACGTTGCCAATTGTTCGAAAAATACCTGAAAACATCGAAATATAAAGAAGAATACCGGACAACCTACCACTAAGCAAATTAATATAGCCAATAATAGCAATATTCACCTACCAGCTGATTCTTAACACAACACTGTTCCGCAGGAAGAAATACTATCAGATGTTCGAAACAAACTAGCCAGTGAACAATCCAAGCATAATGAGTTATGTAAAATCATTGTAAAATTAGAAGAGAAAATAGGAAAACTTTCTAATGAGATTTTTAATAAAGAAAAAACGATTAACGGTGGAGCCTTGCACCAAAGAACCCGCAGCCCTACCATTATCGGCAGCTGCAAATAAAAACAACCTAAACTATCGTAGAAAGATACTTGTTTTTGGTGAAAGAAAACTTCTAGAACTGTATACTGACGAATCCAGGTTTACCACTGAGAACATTATTAAGCCAAATATAGAGTTTTCAATGTATATAAAGGATACAATCACGAAAACAATTCCTCATGAAAAAGATGACTTTGTAATTTTCATGATTAAGACACATATTATCAACAGTTCATATTGTTTAAACTTGGTCGCTCTACCAACTTAATATTTCTGTAAGAATTAAGTTCTTACGCTGATAATAACCTTATAAATAGGATGAATTCCAAAGTAACCAGTTATTGGAAATCCCATGAAAGGCTCAAAACAAAGTATTGCGAGATATGTTAACGATATACTAAGCAGCCCACATAAAAATAATACCATGCTGAAGACAATTGACACTGAGTCAGCACAATGTCGTAAGCGGTATTTTTCTTAAAATTTGTACAAATTGTGTACAAATTAAGATAGTAATAAGATAACAAGAGATAAGAATAAATAAATGTTAGACCAGCTTGACTAGAACTGAGAAGTATGTAGTGGTACCTGGAGATTTTAATATTATATTTGGCAGCAATGATGAGCGGAAAAACTAAGTTATTGATGTGTTCAGCTGTTATGGAATGCAACATATGATCAGGGACAGTACAAGAGGGTTGCGTTGCTCAATAACATTTTTACAAACCTCCAAAACAGCTTTTTTCTCAAAACGAATATCTTTTATTCCTACTAGTCGGATCAACTAGGGATCGAGTTTTGTTGTTTCCAACCTAGTAAGGAAAATAGCTGCAAAAGGATTGGTTACCGGCCAGTTACTGGTACCGGTCTTTTTATACTTTACAGCAACTTGGAAAGTACTGGCTGGCAGTTTGTAAATGATGCAAATCTATACGTGGAGCTGAAATTTGTGCTGTTCATACATGTTGTTACCGATGCAGTGGATAAATGTCTACCAGAAAAAAAACGCGATTCATCAACTATAACCAAATCAGAAATGAATTTTCTGAAATCCAAGTTCAGAGCTGAAATAGTGAAACGTAAGCAGGATGCACCAACGCAGTTCCTGTCAAGAAAAAAGTTACCACATCACTGAACGCTAACCATTTTTCACCACCGTTGTTAATAACCTTTTAGAAAACTTACAGTCGCATTGCACTTTACCACTAAGCTATATGGATAATCAAAGCAGTAAAAATCAATTTTCTTTTCGTGAAGTTACTAAAATGAAGTTAGGGATGCAGTTAAGTCTATTAAAGACTCTAGAAGCACCGACTTATATAAACTTAATAGTAAAATTGTAAAGTCGATGATAAATGGAATTATTTGCCCGCTTACCAAGCTTATCAATATATGTTTAAAATCAAATACCTTATTATATATTCATATATAGAAACAAAAACCAACGAAATGATTACAAAAATTGTTAAAAATGGCCCCCTTCACTTAGTATGCATGCTTCCGGCCTCCTTCTCATGTAATTGCGCACTCGTTGAAATATTCCTGGAGTGTTTTTTATTCTATCACAAGCTGCAACTATTCTTTCTCTCGATTCCTCCACAGTGTAAATGGGACTAGTGTACACTAGTGCCTTAAAATCGCCCCACAAAAAGAAATCTAACCTGTTGAGGTCTGGGGACCTTGGTGGCGATTCTTGGGGCCCACCGCGGCCAATCCAACGATTTGGATAAACAGTTTGTAAATAATTACGAACCGCTATACTGAAATGCGCTAGTGCGCCATCATCCATGTACCACATGCCAACGAGTAAAGTAGTGCTATAAATATTGTTTCTTATTACTAACGGAACATCATCAAGCAGCAAAGGCAACTGTTGTTGAATAAAATTGAGGTAAGTCTGTCCGTCAAGTCGTCCCGGCAAGAAAAATGGGCCAGTAAAGTGGTTGCCAACAATTGATTTACATTTCGATAAAAATTAGCTTCGTCCGTGAACAGAGTCATTGATTCAAATTGCATATTTTGTGTAATTTTTTGAAGGTACCACTGACAAAAGGTCACACGCCTTGGAAAATCAATGGGAAGTAATGCCTGTACTCTCATAATATGGTAAGGATATAACAAAAAATTCACTAAAATTCTCCAAACAACTTGATGGCAAATATTTAAGTGTCTAGCGATCCTCCTCGTACTCGTTTCAGGATGTTTTTCGACTTCGTGCAGCACTGCTTCCTCAATTTGAGGTGTTCTTACACTTAGAGGTCTACCTTTAGATGTTCCTTTTCGGATAAAACCAGTTTCAACAAGACGACGATGAATATTAGAAAAGGTTCGACTATCTGGCAAAGCACGATCGGGATATCTCTGGTGATAAATCCGTCTGGCTTGCTCACCACTACCGTCGGCAAGGGCATATACGTGATGCATTTTTAACAAGATTGTAAAAAAAAATAATGAATAAGATATCACAGCTAACAGATTTGAATAACAGAGACCTGTCAGATTTCAAATGCCAGAGACATATTCCAGAGCAGCTAGATATTTATTGCTAAATTGCATTCTTCAATTATTACATTAATTTTCTTGGACAATATAACGGTTTGATTTTTTTACTCAAAAATGGCGCATCAAAGGAAAACAATTTAAAAGAAATTATTTGTTTTAAGTTGAACGGGCAATTCAAAAATAATTTTTATTTGGCAAAAGACTGTTGGCGTGCCATTTTTTTCTTAAAAAATATCAAAGTCAATACCCGTACGCACTCCACTGTTAAAGCTAAAAATTATTTTTGCATTGAAAAATATGCATCTTTATTAACTTTCACTACGTACTAAATATCAATGAAATATCTGAAAATATAAATTAATTTCGATTTTTTTCCTAAAACTTCAACACCCCGAGTTTTTATAAGGAAACATTTTTGGACCATAGTTTATA